ATGGCGGATGTAGCCGCCGTCCGGAGCCAAGTGGTTCTGGTCGTGAACAGCCTGGGCCGAACCCTGCTGGCCCAGCTGAGGGAGGCGGAGCGTGGGAGCCGCGAGCGCCGCTCTCAGGTGAAGCTAACCGTGGCTAATAGCAACACTTCCGGCTCCAGCGGCGCCTGTCGGTGACGTCACGGTCCTTGTGTGCTGCACCGAGTTTAACTTTATTTATCAAGTAACAAAGCTAATAACAGCAACGCAGGACAATAGGATGTAAACTGTAGAAACAAACTAGAATCTCTTCATAATCTAAATATTTACATAATCTAAATATTTTCATAGTCTAAATATTTTCTCTCATTCCGCTGCTGAGTCCATTTCATGTCGGTTACTTGCATTGAATCTGATTAACTGCGTCGCTTTACTCACGTTCCCAAAATCTAACGAATAAAATGATATTTTCTCATAAATGATGACACAAATTCACAGGACCTGAGAAATGTTTAGAAAAATAACAGTTTTCCTTCCAGCCTTATATTTACTAATTAAGCACAGAGTGAGAAGTTCCACTTCCTAAATCTAAAATCAGAAAAATGAAACCATATTGAATGTTTTAAGCCATTTTTCCAAAGCGCAACTGTAACACTTGCTTTATGTAGCGGTGCAATGCGAAAACGGCGCCCCTGTCTGTGTGGCGGTTACATGCTGCTGGTCTCAGAGCCAGGCTGAAAGCTGCACCAGAGGCGAGTTTCATTCTTCACAGTAGAAGAGTGTTAGCAACACATAAAACATCATTAATTGGACAAATAGAGTAATGAATATTTACTAGATGTGTCTCTGGCACAATACTGTAAAACATATCATGTACACAGTTAAAACTAAGCCACCATAACGCTCTGTTGAAGGAGCTCAGGGAAGCTGAGTCGTTGCACTGATTCCAAGCCGATAGGAAATTAACCGCCAGAAACTCCTTGACTTCATTCCAGGGGTTTCTTGGTGCGGCGGCCCGGTGCCCCGGTGCGGCGGCGGCCCGGTGCCCCGGTGCCCCGGTGCGGCGGCGGCCCGGTGCCCGGTGCCCCGGTGCGGCGGCGGCACCGGGGCACCGGGGCACTCATGTCATTAATTAATCGGGACTTTTAACAAAAACGTTTCTTCCTGTTTCATTCATAAACATTTAACTTCATTCTTCTGACGAAATGCTTTGATGAGTTCAGTAATGAATGAGAAAAATCTAATTTCTAACCTTAAATCTAAGTAATTATTCTGAGGGCAGAGACAAGCACTGGATGGTTTTTGTTTGTTTTGATCTTGTTATTGATTTGAAGCGTTAATAACTGAGTCGTTGTGCTAAACAGTGTATTGCCAAATGCTTCGCTGGATCTTAAATCTAGAGCAGAGTCCTGGATTTATGGAAACTGAGCTATAAATAGAGCAGCTCAAAGATAATCCCCTGAACTTTGCAGCATCTCAGAGAGGAACGTCCAGGTGTGTGAAATCCAACCTGACGGGACGTTAATGGAGGCTGATAGTTGAATCTCTCAGTTCGTTCAATCTGAGCAGAAACCTGAGCTAACATTTATAATCATACACAGAGATGTTCTGATTATAAACATCCATTAGATGTTTATTAGGTTTGGGGATTAAACTGATAATCCCTGTTTTTATTGCATCAGAGAGATTACCTGTCAGGATATACTCTACAAAGGCTTTGAACAACATCTCTAATACTTCCATAAAAACCTGCAGAATGCTGTTGTTTGTGGCCTGGTGATTATCTCCTTAGTGGCCCGACTCTCTCTGAACCGTCCTGCAGGTTTGTACCACGATCCCAGTAAACGGCTGGCAGAGCCAGTCTGTCACTGGTTCACCTGGTGGACATTAGCTTCCTCAGTGAACTCGACGTCTTTGGATGGTTTGAATGAACTCCATTGGAGGAAAGCCAAACCATCGTTCCTCATGTTTTAAGTCAGCTGTAATTATTCCAGAGACCGACCGTCACGTCTTATAGACTTTCAGCCGCTGCTCTAACGTCCACCATGATGAAATGCTTCAAGAGGTGAAGGCCCCATCCACACTGCCTCCATCATCTGACCCAATCCGGTTTGGATAACAGCTCCACGGAGGACGCCACCCGCCGGGAACACCTTGGTACCGGCGCCGTCCAGATCCATCATCCTCTAGGACAGGGGTGTCAAACTCCAGTCCTGGAGGGACGCTGTCCTGCAGGTTTTTGATGTGTAACAGGTACAAAACACAGGAATGAAATGGCTTAATTACCTCCTCCTTTTGTAGATCGATTCTGCAGAGCCTTGCTAATGACCTATTATTCTATTCAGCTGGTGCAGCAGAGGCACATCTAAACGTTGCAGGACAGCGGCCCTCCAGGACTGGAGTTTGACACCCCTGGTCTAGGATCTGCTCACTGGTCCCACTGGGCCTCAACTGGTTGCTGGATTCCTCACTGACAGAGCTGAGGCCTCATGTCTCTGAACACCGGCAGTGGACTGGTGAACCACCGGCCCCCGAACATCGACTAGACCAAGGAGGTCACTGACCACGTCCAGCCGCACGCCACTCCTCAACAATAGATTGATCCTCCGATCGATTGATCCTCTGCTCGATTGATGCTCTGATCGATTGATGCTCTGCTCGATTGATCCTCTGCTCGATTGACACTCGGATCGATTGATGCTCTGATCGATTGATGCTCTGATCGATTGATGCTCTGATCGATTGACACTCGGATCGATTGATGCTCTGATCGATTGATCCTCTGCTCGATTGATGCTCTCATTGATTGATCCTCTGCTCGATTGATGCTCTGATCGATTGATCCTCTGCTCGATTGATGCTCTGATCGATTGATCCTCTGCTCGATTGATGCTCTGATCGATTGATGCTCTGATCGATTGATCCTCTGCTCGATTGATGCTCTCATTGATTGATCCTCTGCTCGATTGATGCTCTGATCGATTGATCCTCTGCTCGATTGATGCTCTGATCGATTGATCCTCTGCTCGATTGATGCTCTGATCGATTGATGCTCTGATCGATTGATCCTCTGCTCGATTGATGCTCTGATCGATTGATCCTCTGCTCGATTGATCCTCGAATCGATTGATGCTCTGATCGATTGATGCTCTGATCGTTTGATGCTCTGATCGATTGATCCTCTGCTCGATTGATGCTCTGATCGATTGATGCTCTGATCGATTGTTCCTCTGCTCGATTGACGCTCTGATCGATTGACGCTCTGATCGATTGATGCTCTGATCGATTGATGCTCTGATCGATTGATCCTCGGATCGATTGATCCTCTGCTCGATTGACGCTCTGATCGATTGATGCTCTGATCGATTGATGCTCTGATCGATTGATCCTCTGCTCGATTGATGCTCTGATCGATTGATGCTCTGATCGATTGATCCTCTGATTGATTGACGCTCTGATCGATTGATCCTCTGCTCGATTGATGCTCTGATCGATTGATCCTCTGCTCGATTGATGCTCTGATCGATTGATCCTCTGCTCGATTGACACTCGGATCGATTGATGCTCTGATCGATTGATGCTCTGATCGATTGATCCTCTGATCGATTGACGCTCTGATCGATTGATCCTCTGCTCGATTGACACTCGGATCGATTGATGCTCTGATCGATTGATGCTCTGATCGATTGATCCTCTGATCGATTGACGCTCTGATCGATTGATCCTCTGCTCGATTGATGCTCTGATCGATTGATCCTCTGCTCGATTGATGCTCTGATCGATTGATCCTCTGCTCGATTGATGCTCTGATCGATTGATCCTCTGCTCCATTGATGCTCTGATCGATTGATCCTCTGCTCCATTGATGCTCTGATCGATTGATCCTCTGCTCCATTGATGCTCTGATCGATTGATCCTCTGCTCCATTGATGCTCTGATCGATTGATCCTCTGCTCGATTGACACTCGGATCGATTGATGCTCTGATCGATTGATCCTCTGCTCGATTGATGCTCTGATCGATTGATGCTCTGATCGATTGATCCTCTGATTGATTGACGCTCTGATCGATTGATCCTCTGCTCGATTGATGCTCTGATCGATTGATCCTCTGCTCGATTGACACTCGGATCGATTGATGCTCTGATCGATTGATGCTCTGATCGATTGATCCTCTGATCGATTGACGCTCTGATCGATTGATCCTCTGCTCGATTGACACTCGGATCGATTGATGCTCTGATCGATTGATGCTGATCGATTGATCCTCTGATCGATTGACGCTCTGATCGATTGATCCTCTGCTCGATTGATGCTCTGATCGATTGATCCTCTGCTCGATTGATGCTGATCGATTGATCCTCTGCTCGATTGATGCTCTGATCGATTGATCCTCTGCTCGATTGATGCTCTGATCGATTGATCCTCTGCTCGATTGATGCTCTGATCGATTGATCCTTGCTCCATTGATGCTCTGATCGATTGATCCTCTGCTCCATTGATGCTCTGATTGATTGATCCTCTGCTCCATTGATGCTCTGATCGATTGATCCTCTGCTCCATTGATGCTCTGATCGATTGATCCTCTGCTCGATTGACACTCGGATCGATTGATGCTCTGATCGATTGATCCTCTGCTCGATTGATGCTCTGATCGATTGATCCTCTGCTCGATTGATGCTCTGATCGATTGATCCTCTGCTCGATTGATGCTCTGATCGATTGATCCTCTGCTCCATTGATGCTCTGATCGATTGATCCTCTGCTCCATTGATGCTCTGATCGATTGATCCTCTGCTCCATTGATGCTCTGATCGATTGATCCTCTGCTCCATTGATGCTCTGATCGATTGATCCTCTGCTCGATTGACACTCGGATCGATTGATGCTCTGATCGATTGATCCTCTGCTCGATTGATGCTCTGATCGATTGATGCTCTGATCGATTGATCCTCTGCTCCATTGATGCTCTGATCGATTGATCCTCTGCTCGATTGACACTCGGATCGATTGATGCTCTGATCGATTGATCCTCTGCTCGATTGATCTGATCGATTGATGCTTGGATCGATTGATTCTCTGATCGATTGATGCTCTGATCGATTGATGCTCTGATCGATTGATCCTCGGATCGATTGATGCTCTGGTCGATTGATGCTCTGATCGATTGATGCTCTGATCGATTGATCCTCGGATCGATTGATGCTCTGCTCGATTGATCCTCTGCTCGATTGATCCTCTGATCGATTGATCCTCTGATCGATTGATGCTCTGATCAATTGATCTCGGATCGATTGATGCTCTGCTCGATTGATGCTCTGATCGATTGATGCTCTGATCGATTGATGCTCTGATCGATTGATGCTCTGATCGATTGATCCTCTGATCGATTGACGCTCTGATCGATTGATGCTCTGATCGATTGATGCTCTGCTCCATTGATGCTCTGATCGATTGATCCTCTGATCGATTGACGCTCTGATCGATTGATGCTCTGATCGATTGATGCTCGGCTCGATTGACGCTCGGATCGATTGATGCTCTGATCGATTGATCCTCTGATCGATTGACGCTCTGATCGATTGATGCTCTGATCGATTGATGCTCTGCTCCATTGATGCTCTGATCGATTGATCCTCTGATCGATTGACGCTCTGATCGATTGATGCTCTGATCGATTGATGCTCTGCTCCATTGATGCTCTGATCGATTGATCCTCTGATCGATTGACGCTCTGATCGATTGATGCTCTGATCGATTGATGCTCTGATCGATTGATCCTCTGATCGATTGACGCTCTGATCGATTGATGCTCTGCTCCATTGATGCTCTGATCGATTGATCCTCTGATCGATTGACGCTCTGATCGATTGATGCTCGGCTCGATTGACACTCGGATCGATTGATCCTCTGCTCCATTGATGCTCTGATCGATTGATCCTCTGATCGATTGACGCTCTGATCGATTGATGCTCTGATCGATTGATGCTCTGATCGATTGATGCTCTGATCGATTGATCCTCTGCTCGATTGACACTCGGATCGATTGATGCTCTGATCGATTGATCCTCTGATCGATTGATCCTCTGATCGATTGATGCTCTGATCGATTGATCCTCTGATCGATTGACGCTCTGATCGATTGATCCTCTGCTCGATTGATGCTCTGATCGATTGATCCTCTGCTCCATTGATGCTCTGATCGATTGATCCTCTGCTCGATTGATGCTCTGATTGATTGATGCTCGGATCGATTGATGCTCTGCTCGATTGATGCTCTGATCGATTGATGCTCTGATCGATTGATCCTCTGCTCGATTGATGCTCTGATCGATTGATCCTCGGATCGATTGATGCTCTGATCGATTGATGCTCTGATCGATTGATGCTCTGATCAATTGATCCTCGGATCGATTGATGCTCTGATCGATTGATCCTCGGATCGATTGATGCTCTGATCGATTGATCCTCTGCTCGATTGATGCTCTGATCGATTGATCCTCTGCTCGATTGATGCTCTGATCGATTGATCCTCTGCTCGATTGATGCTCTGATCGATTGATCCTCTGCTCGATTGATGCTCTGATCGATTGATCCTCTGCTCGATTGATGCTCTGATCGATTGATCTGCTCGATTGATGCTCTCATTGATTGATCCTCTGCTCGATTGATCCTCTGCTCGATTGATGCTCTGATCGATTGATCCTCTGATCGATTGATGCTCTGATCGATGGATCCTCTGCTCGATTGATGCTCTGATCGATTGATCCTCTGCTCCATTGATGCTCTGATCGATTGATCCTCTGCTCGATTGACACTCGGATCGATTGATGCTCTGATCGATTGATGCTTGGATCGATTGATTCTCTGATCGATTGATGCTCTGATCGATTGATGCTCTGATCGATTGATCCTCTGATCGATTGACGCTCTGATCGATTGATCCTCTGCTCGATTGATGCTCTGATCGATTGACACTCGGATCGATTGATGCTCTGATCGATTGATGCTCTGATCGATTGACACTCGGATCGATTGATGCTCTGATCGATTGATCCTCTGCTCGATTGATGCTCTGATCGATTGATGCTCTGATCGATTGATGCTCTCGATGATCCTCGGATCGATTGATGCTCTGCTCGATTGATGCTCTGATCGATTGATGCTCTGATCGATTGATCCTCGGATCGATTGATGCTCTGCTCGATTGATCCTCTGATCGATTGATCCTCTGCTCGATTGATGCTCTGATCGATTGATGCTCTGCTCGATTGATGCTCTGATCGATTGATGCTCTGCTCGATTGATCCTCTGCTCGATTGATGCTCTGATCGATTGATGCTCTGCTCGATTGATCCTCTGATCGATTGATGCTCTGATCGATTGATGCTCTGATCGATTGATGCTCTGATCGATTGATGCTCTGATCGATTGATGCTCTGATCGATTGATGCTCTGATCGATTGATCCTCTGATCGTCCGTCTGGCAGGACGTTTCCTTCATTGTTGAGCAGCCAGACTCAGAACCATTTTCCTCCCATCGACCTGCAGGTTGCTCAACATTCCCTCACTGTGACTGTCTGAAACTCAAAGTTATTTATATTATTATTTTATATTTTTGTATTTCTGGGCAGACTCGTAGTTTTTCTGGGGTTTTCCTTTGCGCTCCGATGGCGACATTTTGTCATTCTGTCGTGTCTTCGTGAAGCGTCGGAAGGTCCGGATCATTCCTGGGCCAGCTGGCCTCAGACCATCAGGCTTCCTGGTTCTGGGTCCAGAATCAGATTATTAACCTGGATCTGGATCCTCCCGACTCCCCTGCATGATCCAAACGCACCAAAAAAAAACACTTGATGGTCAGGAATGTTCTGCAGGTGATCGGAGACATGCAGTTAGTTTTCCTGAAGGGAACAGTCAGTAAATAATCTGGTAATAAAACAAAACTTATCATTAAACATCTGGAGTCCTTTGGACCAAAGTTATTAAGAGGTTCTTTGGAGGATCGGCAGAATCCTGGTTCTGTTCCAGTTTGGGCCCAGTCACAAGAGACTGGTTCTTTCAGTCTGTGTGAAAGAGTGATGGAGGTTTACTGGTTTCCTCAGGAGGAACTGGGAGTGGCAGTGGACAGGCTGTGTCTGGAAGCTGCCGATCAAATCCTGAAGATCCTGGAAACCAGCATGACGAGGCAGGAAGAGGCTCCGCCCACACCGGCCGACACCCGTGGAGGCTTAATGAAGACCCAGACAGGTGCAGGTGTGTCTGCAGGACTAAGATTTTCAGAAGTTAAATCTGTTTACCACAGATTTAACATTTGAAAACGGTGATCTGATTTGCAATCAGCACAGGAAGAAACCCTCAGTCATCTGCAGAGAGACGAATATTAGAACAGAGATGAAGGATTAGTTAGAGACACTGGGAGGAGCTTTAGACAGAACCCTGGGGAACACCGTCAGGACCAGCAAAACCAGTTAGTAGACCGATCCCAGGCCAGGATCATAAACACGATCCAGGTGAGCAGAAGGTCCGTGTCTGCGTTTGGTGTGAACCAGGTGAAAATCGTTGTGTTTCTGAGTTTCAGGTGAGCAGGAGCCCGGCGCAGGCCACGCCTACTTCCTGTACGGAGTCAGTGACGGAGCGGCTGCAGAGCAAACGCTGACCATGTTTCCTTTTCTGAGCGCTGCTGGTGACAGCAGGCGCCTGCTGGTGGCGCTGCAGAGCGCTGGGGGTGAGTCTACCTGCTGCAGTGCGGAGGACGGAGCCCTGAGGAGCTCCTGGTGGGTCAGCTGCTGCAGCGCCCTCTGCTGCTCATCAGAGATGAACTGCGTCTGTGTTCAAGGTGGCAGCAGAAGCAGCGCGTCTCATCTCACAGGTGAGGAGTTGCAGGTGCGCCCCGCCTCTTCCCCTCCGACCGATGACCATGACTACGCCCGGCCCCCAGCGCCACCTGGCGGCGAGGCCAAACGCTGCGGGCGGAGGCCGGCTGCGACCACGGCGAGCGAGGAGCTTCACCTGCGGTGCTGGCGCTGCAGCAGGCTGTTCCCCAGCGCCGAGCGGCTGGCCGACCACCACAGGAAGTCCACCCGCTGTGCTCGGTGTGCGGCGCGGCGTTCAGCGGCGTCCTGAAGCTCCGGGAACACCAGCTGAAGGAGCACGGCCTCCTGCCGTTCGCCTGCGGCTTCTGCCCCAAAAGCTTCAACCACAAGACGCACCGCGACCTGCACGTCAAGGCGCGACACACCGGCGACAAGAGCTGCCGCTGCGACATCTGCGGGAAGGGCTACTCCTGCGTCGGCGCGCTAAAGACGCACCGGGTGACGCACTTCAGCAAGACCTTGATGTGCGAAGTCTGCGGCAAGGCCTTCTACCACGCCTCCCACCTGACGCGACACACGCTGGTGCACCAGGAGCCGCGCCCATTCAGCTGCTCCACCTGCGGGCGGCGCTTCACGCAGGCCGGCAACCTGCGCAGCCACCAGGCCACGCACGCCGGAGAGAAGCAGCTCTGCTCCGTCTGCGGCAAGAGCTTCCGCTGCCTGAGGAACCACATGATCAGCCGACACGCCCAGGAGGCGGCGGCGGCCGGCCTGCTGCCGCCGGCCGTCACCTGCCAGGTCTGCGGGAAGAAGTTCCCCAACCCGTCGCAGCACCGGGCGCACCAGCGCAGCCACACGGGGGACAAGCCGTTCCACTGCGATGTGTGCGGGAGGAGCTACCGGCTGCAGCAGCTGCTGCAGGACCACCGCTACACCCACGGCGGGCAGAAGCCCTACAGCTGCTCCGCCTGCGCCCAGACCTTCAGCCGGGCCTCCAGCTTCCTGCGGCACCGCAGCATCCACGGCGGCCAGGCGCCGCACAGCTGCCAGCGCTGCGGGAAGCACTTCCGGCTGCGCAGCTTCCTCCGGGCTCACCTGCAGACCCAAGCTCACCTGAGGCGGATGCAGCAGAGCCTTTAATCCCAGATTAGCAGCTGGGATGGACGATCTGGACGGTTCGGTTCCTTCGTCTGCTTGACTGTAATCTGTCACTACACAGAAACACGGCCCTGAGGGACACCAGCTGGACGAGTTTCTGACCCGGTCCAGAGCCTGTTAATCCCAGCTGCCGGTTCTGGACCAGCTCTCTGCAGCAGAGCACTGGTTTGACTGGTTTCCAGTTGAGCAGCTTGAGGGAGTCCAGTAAATCCAGATGATGATGTGTAATCCAGCAGACCTGCTCAGATTAAGGAACGTGTCCAGGCGATAATCCCGCCTCGGTGTTTGAACCATAATCTGCGGTTTGTTTACGTTCCAGATGCTAATCAGAACCACAACATGTTTGTTTCATCGTTTGATCATCAGATTATCAGCTTCTGGGATCCGTCACACACTAGAGGTCAGAGGGTCACGGGCTGTTTCTGCCACCGTTTTCATTTATTAAAGTCGGTTTCAAAATAAATGGAGATTTTTCAGCAGCAACTTTACGTTATGTTGTCATAGCAACCTCATAAAGAACCTGTTACTTTGACTAGGACCTTCAATCCCATATTAAACAACCTTCTAAAGTTTCCTTCCTTCTGCCAGATTATTTTATTATCCAGACAGAAACCAGCAGCTCCATAATTGGGGCCTGCCTTGCAATGCATAAGGAGAGCAGTGACTGACTGCAAGTCAGTCACTGCTCTCCTTATGCATTGCATGGCAGGCACCTATTGTTCTTCACCTAATAGAACGCCTCTTTATTATTGGGGCCTGCCCATAGCAATGCATAAGGAGAGCAGTGACTGACTTGCGAAGCAAGTCAGTCACTGCTCTCCTTATGCATTGCATGGCAGGCACCTATTGTTCTTCACCTAATAGAACGCCTCTTTATTGGGGCCTGCCCATAGCAATGCATAAGGAGAGCAGTGACTGACTTGCGAAGCAAGTCAGTCACTGCCTCCATGCATTGCATGGCAGGCACCTATTAATCTTCACCCAATAGAATGTCTCTTTATTATTATTATTGGGGCCCTGCCCATAGCAATGCATAAGGAGAGCAGTTACTGACTTGCGAAGCAAGTCAGTAACTGCCTCCATGCATTGCATGGCAGGCACCTATTGTTCTTCACCTAATAGAATGCCTCTTTATTCTTCTTTATTTTTCTTCCTTAGACCGGAATGCGGCTCGTACCGCTGCGAGCCCACCCACAAATGTGGTATCAAAACGTGCGGCTTGTTCCCGGCATTGGAGCTATTACTTTTATGGGGAATCGGCGTTATGACGGCGACGTAAAAAGCGAAAAACGAGCAAAATTTCCAACTGCCGAACCGAAAAGCTCAACTGCCAAAACCTAGAGTGTAACTGACGTTTCGTTAGAGTGTGGGAAGCAGTGCGATTCGACCCCAAATAAATTTTGAAATCGCCGCCACGCCCACAAATATCGTGCAATCGGTATGAAACTCAGACATGACATCGATACGTATGTCTGCTCCGGTAAAATGTTTTCAAAATTTTTCTAGGGCTTACGGTTTTCTGTCAAGGTGCTTTAGAGCAAAATCAAGTTCCAGCCTAACTGACGCTCTCCACCATATATTTTCATACTTTTCTGGAAAATTCAGACCTCAACACACACCATTCTCTCTCATCACTGTAATTACTGTGAGTGAGCTACAGATTTGATTTGCAGGACTATCGGAGACAAAAAAATAGCTCTCTCATATGCTTCAAACGGTTTTCTCATACGTATCACAGTTTCCGAACGGCAAGGAGTTGTTCGGGCTGCTTTTTCCATTATAACTGACTGAGCTGTCTCACAAAGATAGAAATCTGTCTCTGCCTCACACATGACTGTTGACCTCTTTAGAACTACAATTCCTGAAGGTTAGAACTACAACATGGCGGAACACTCAGTGCCTACAAAAGAGGTCAGAGCTGATTGTCAGAACTACAACAGTAACTGTCAGTTACTGCTGAGGAGGAATGAGCTGGCCTTTAGAATTACATTGTGTTTTGGCTTTATAACTAATTGTAAGCAACCACTGTTACAGACAGGAATAGTTTGGCAATTTTAAATTAAGCTTAATAAAAATTTCGAAATAAACCTGGAATATTTCTCTCAGGCCTGTCAGAAAAACTAACTTCTTCAAGCACTTAGAATTAAGCCTGTCCTTGTGTGTCACACTGACATGACAGTTGACCTCCTCTTAGAACTACAATTCCTGAAGGTTAGAACTACAACATGGCGGAACACTCAGTGCCTACAGAAGAGGTCATAGGTGAATCTAAAAACTACAACATGGTGGAACTGTCAGTTACTACTGAGGGACTGAGCTGCTCTTTAGAACTACAATGACTGCAGGTTAGAACTACAAACATGGCGGAACACTCAGTGCCTACAAAAGAGGTTAGAGCTGATTGTCAGAACTACAACATGGCAGAACTGTCAGTTACTACTGATGAGGAATCAGCTGGCCATGACAAGTACTTGGTTTTTGGGAATTTTAGAACTGATTTCAAAACTCCATAGTTACACATGGGATTAGTGTTACCATTTAAATTAAACTTAATGTAAATTTCAAAATAAAAGCCTTGACAATTTTTCCATCAAGTAATTGCTCTTTGACCACTATATAACTGATTTAACCCAATCAGTGTTAAACATGGGATGAGATTGGCCATTTAAAATTAATCTCAATGAAAATTTCAAAATAAAAGCCTTAAGATTCCTTTCTGGCTCATGCCTATTTTAGGGAAAATGGCTGCCTCAAACTGATAGAATTAAGTCTCCCCCTGTCTGACTCACAGCTGGCAGAGGATCCATTACCATGGCAACGGAACACAAAGGGGCCAGCTGATTAGGACTACAAAAACGCATCACTGTAGTTCTAACTATGGCAGAACTCAGAGAAAAAAGCTGGACTTTAGAACTGCTTGTGTTTTGGGCCTTTATAACTATTTTTAACCAACCATTGTTACACATGGAATTAGTGTGGAAATTTTAAATAACTTTTAAAAAATTTCAAAATAAAAGCCTGGACATTTTTACAATAAATAAGTGCTCTTTTGACCATTATATGTCTGATTTAACCAAATCACTGTTATACATGGGATTACATAGACCATTTAAAATTAAACATTCTGAACATTTTCAAATAAAAGCCTTAAGATTTGGCCGTGGCTATGCAGCGCCGCAGGCGCTGCAATGATATTAGCTTGCATTATCTTTTCCTCTCAAGTTAGGGCACTGTCTTGCACAGCAAGACAGTGCATTAGCATTAGCACAAACATTAGCATTTCTCTGTTCCCCACCGGTGCATTGCCGTAGGCAGGCAGTGCAATAAGATTATCCTGCATGATCTTTTCCACTCAGGTTAGGGCTCTGCCTTGCGCAGCAAGGCAGAGCATTAGCATTAGCCTTTTACCTTGCATGAGGTATTAGCTATATCCTTTACTTATTACCCATATTTAATATACTGAATGCAGTAAGTCATGCTTGTGACTCTCCACATTGTATTGATGACATTGCAGCTTTCTTTAGCATGGATGCTAATGTTTAGCATCAGAACGCTGGGTCAAAATCGACGGGCACACTTTGGCAGGCCCCGGTTAAATTTCTTCAGGAATTTTCTAGTTATAACTTATTCTTCCGTAGACCGGAATGCGGCTCGCACCGCTGCGAGCCCACCCACAAAAGTGGTATCAAAACGTGCGGCTTGTTCCCGGCATTGGAGCTATTACTTTTATGGGGAATCGGAGTTACGACGGCGACGTAAAAAGCGAAAAACGAGCGAAATTTCCAACTGCCGAAACGCAGAGCATAACTGCCACCAACTGCCGCTCCGCTAGAGTGAAAAATGAAGTGAATTTCTGACCCCAAATAAATTTTGAAATCGCCGTCACGCCCACAAATATCGTGCAATCGGTCTCAAACTCGGTCATGACATAGATACGAATGTCTGCTCCGTAAAATGTTTTCAAAATTTTTCTAGGGCTTACGGTTTTCTGTCAAGGTGCTTTAGAGCAAAATCAAGTTCCAGCCTAACTGACGCTCTCCACCATATATTTTCATACTTTTCTGGAAAATTTCAGACCTCAGCGCACACCATTTTTCTCTCATCGCTGTAATTACTATGAATGAGCTACAGATATGATTTGCAGGACTATAGGAGACAAAAAATAGCTCTCTCATACGCTTCAAACGGTTTTCCGATACGTATCACGGTTTCCGAACGGCAAGGAGTTGTTCGGGCTGCTTTTTCCATTATAACTGACTGAGCTGTCTCACAAAGATAGAAATCTGTCTCTGCCTCACACACATGACAGTTGACCTCTTTAGAACTACAATGACTGCAGGTTAGAACTACAACATGGCGGAACTGTCAGTTACTACTGAGGAGGAATGAGCTGGCCTTTAGAATTACATTGTGTTTGGACTTTTTATAACTGATTTTAAGCAACCATTGTTACACACAGGATTAGTGTGGCAATTTTAAATTAAGCTTAATGAAAATTTCAAAATGAAAGCTTGTATATTTCTCTCAGGCCTTTCAGAAAAATAACTGCTTCAAGCATTTAGAATTAAGTCTCTCCTTGTGTGTCACAATGACATGAGAGTTGACCTTCTCCTTAGAACTACAATAACTGCAGGTTTGGACTACAACATGGCGGAACAGTCAATGCCTACAGAAGAGGTCATAGGTGAATATAAAAACTACAACATGGTGGAACTGTCAGTTACTACTGAGGAGGAATGAGCTGGCCTTTAGAATTACATTGTGTTTGGACTTTTTATAACTGATTTTAAGCAACCATTGTTACACACAGTATTTGTGTGAAAATTTAAAATGAAGCTTAATGAAAATTTCAAAATAAAACCTTGAATATTTCTCTCAGGCCTGTCAGAAAAACTAACTTCTTCAAGCATTTATAATTAAGTCTCTCCTTGTGTGTCACATTGACATGACAGTTGACCTCCTCTTTAGAACTACAATTCCTGAAGGTTAGAACTACAACATGGCGGAACACTCAGTGCCTACAAAAGAGGTCAGAGCTGATTGTCAGAACTACAACATGGCGGAACTGTCAGTTACTACTGAGGAGGAATGAGCTGGCCTTTAGAATTATATTGTGTTTGGACTTTTTATAACTGATTTCAAATGGTTGTGTAACAATCATTTGTTACACACAGGATTAGCGTGGTAATTTTAAATTAAGTTGAATTAAAATTTCAAAATAAAAGCCCTGACATACTTTTATATTATGGAATTGCTCTCTTGGGGATATATGTGACTTTTTTAAAAACAAAACCACTGTTACTCTTCGGATTATTTTGGACAGTTAAAATGAAGCTTACTGAAAATTTCAAAATAAAAGCCTTAAGATTCCTTTCTGGCTCATG